GGTGTGTGTGTGTGTTGGGTTGGGTGGGTTCCCCCCACCCCGGGTTTTGGGGGGGTCTCCGGTGGGGTTGGGGGGTTCGGTGTCCCTGGTAGAGGGAGGGAAGCGGTGCCTGGAGAAAGGGAGGGGAGGAAAAGGCAGACAATACTTTTTTTGATGTGCTGGGTGACCCTGGGGGTGGGGGGGGGGTTCGTGTTTGTGTGGGTTTTTCCCCTTGTTTTTATCTTGTTTTCCCGTTTGGCCCTTTTTTAATGTCAAACTTGTAATTTTCAGAGTCTGTCTCTTGCCCCAATCTGATAAATACTCGATTATTTTAAATTAAATTTTGTTCCCCTTTTTTTTCGATCAGTGTTTAATAACTTTGTTCTGAGCAGAGATTGTATTCGACAGATCATGAGTAAGGAATTTCCTTTATTAAGAGCGAGGGAGTTGGGGTAAGGGGCAGCATTTATCTTAGGATCTTTTTAACGCTGGTTTAAGCAATGATCAATTTACCCACTTCCTGCTGCGTCTCCCCAGGTTTCCAGGAAAACACAGGGTTTAACGTGAAAAGTTCTTGTAGGCCACACAGCTCTCAAACAATGGCTGGGCTTTAATTTCCAGTATAACTTTCAAAAAAAAACCCCAACCCAAGCTTGGTTCCAGCTCCCGATTGAACTTTTTGAAAGGCCCATCTTGTGTGGACTTAATTTTTTAATATTCCTGCTTATTTTTAGAGGTATATCTAATAAGAGCAGGGGAGCTCTGGATGTGTAGCTGTTCTCCATGCGGATTAAAACTGCTTTATTCAGCGTCGTCCCCAGTTTTAAGCTTAAAACTTGCATGGAGATGCCTCTGAAGTTTTTGTTGCTTGTCGAATGCCCCATAATCTGGAGTGTTTTGCTTGTAATGGTAACGCAGAGCATTTTATTTACATGCTGTGTTTTTGAAAGGGGAAGAAAGAAAATTGCCTGCTTTGAGCACGTTGTAGCAGTGCCGAAGCCTTTGTTTGTAAATAGGTAACTTCCCAGCGAATGGTTTCCCTGGGAAAAGTTTGTTATATATATATATATATATTTACTAAGGATTTGGGAATGAAAAGGATCTTGAGTAGCCATTAGCAGTGGCGAGTCTGGCAGCTGCCTGGTCGCTCACGAATGTGTGTAGTGTAGGGGACTTCACATATTTCTGATGCTCTGTGTGCTTTGAATGACAGGATTCAGCTGTCCGCCACATTTAACACGGCATTTCTATAAAAACACGTCTTGGAACTAAACTTGAACTACCCAGAATGCTCCTTTCCCCTTTGCTCCCTTTCAAAATGTCGCCTTTGCCAAGTTTTGCTCTCGTGTTTGGATCCGTCTGTATGAGACGAAAGAGGAAGCGTCTGGGCAGGAGGCACTTGTGTGGATCTTCGTAGTACCTTGACTGAGATTTTTCTAGACTCTCAAAATCCCCCCAGTTTTTACAGTTGCACAGTGAATAACGATCTGCATGCAAATTAAACCAGAAATGAATTTGTGAACAGAAGGACCTTTGAGGGGGCAGGGTGAGGTGGCTGTGCAGGCTTCCAGTTGCAACTTTGTACCTGGTGTGAACTCCACAACATAGAGATACTTGAAACTTTTCTGTGGATTCATAGTATCTTTTTATTTTCTTTTTTTTTTTTTCCCTCTTTTTTCTTTTGTTTTTTTAAAGACTGCCCTGTGAGAGCTTGTAACCTCCTTTCTTGGAGGCTGCTCAGATTTCATTGTCTGCTATTACTACACAACCTGACTTGGTGATACGTTAATTTCTTACCAGTAATTACTGATTTTTTTTAATTTTTTTTTTTTCCTATTGTGTAGAGGAGTTTTATTGCTTCATTTCATGTTATTGAAGGATTTGGATCATGTTTATTAAAGGGAATCTAATGGGAAGATGCCATTAGAATGTATTGTTGTTGTATTCTTAAAAATCAGCAGCAGTTCAGTAATACCAGGTGCTGTCACAGTGTTTTATGAGGTATTTGGGGAGGTTGTGATTTCCAGACTTTTTAAAAGAGCAGTTGGTTCTGTTGAATGTTACTGGTATTGGTGAAGGTGTTTGAATGTATAAAAAGCTTTGCAGAAAGAATTTGCAGAAAAAGAATTGCTTGTTTACTGGCCATGGAGGCTGTGTGTGTGTCAACAAATGCATGTTGTAACTGCAGTTAAAAAAATCTCTTATCTCTGCTATTCTTATAGTAATTTCCTTCTGAATAGTAACACTGGTCTCAGTGGGACAAGCATAAATAAGTTTGATCAAATAAAGGATTTGGATTTTGTTGGTGTCCACTCTCTCTCTCCACTGTTAGGAAATTGTTCTTGGAAGTTGATTGTAGTAGCTGACTTGTTCAAAACTACTATGATGAGCAGAGAGGAAACAGAGCTGCCTTTGAGGCTGTCAGAGCTGCTGGCAGGATCAGGGCCAAGGTTTTCAGCCACCAAGGTACAATAGTAAAAGCATTCTCGTGCTGCTATGCAGCTGTGGTGGGAGCCCATAAGGGCTGAACACCCACCTCAGTTTCATCCTTGTGACTCTGTGGTATTTGTGGGGATGCATTTAGGTAACTGAAGTCATAAACTATTAATCTTTTTTAAAAAATAATAATAACTCACACTATGGCATGCCTTTAGAAGCAAATTTGATCTTTGTGTGTGCTCTGCACTGGCTGAGCGTTGCATAACGGGGGAAGCCACTTTCCTGCTCACAGGTGTATTGTCTGTGTTGCTCTCAGGATCAGCTGATGGTTTTGTCTTCAAATAACAAACAAGGTGTGGTTTTGTGCTGCTGGCTTTCTATCAAAATATTTGGGGGGATAATAAACCAGTGAGTTGCTGCCAGTCTAGGCTGCTAGTTGTCCTCCTGTGCACAGATGATTTTGCAGAGCATTTGAGATATTTTCAGAGCATTTGAAAAAGGTGTTTTCAGTGTTGGATGATTTCTGCAACTCATCCAGCTTTCCCTGGGTGTTTTTGACAGTGGGACCTGCACTACTGGCTGCTCTGGCTCTGGAAGGTTCTGCTGAGATCCGGGCACTGAGAGGTTAGCTGCTCTTTCTCCAGGGAATCTCAGTCAAAACATGCCAGTGTGTTTCACCATCTCATGACCAAAGCCAGCTTCTGAGTTTACAGGAAGGGTGTACCTTGTGTTTGGGACTTAATTAACTGTGCAAGCAGAAATCCAGTATTTTAATTTTGCATTTGCAAAAAGGCAAACAACTGTTGCATGACTGAGTGAACACACTGTGATACAGTGGGACTTGTGCACTGTTTGAAGATCTGCCTCCTGATTTGTCAGGTGTAAACAAGCAGGGCAGGCACTGATGGCGTAATTTGTGTTCCACCAGGTTGTTTGGGGGCTTTCTTTCTAGCAGTTTTCTGTGACAGCACTCCAGTTGGTGTTTTGTCCACCTCCTAAATTGGTGTTTTGATTTTGGTGTAATGGGCACTTTCCATGAATCTTGGGTATGCTGATAACACTTCACAGCACTAGATATGGGGGTTTTTGGCTTGTGTGTGCTTTGATACGGTATTTTAGTTGCCAGGTTAATGGAGCAAATAACAATGCTAAAGGAGTCCGATTTGGCATTGTGATGTGTCCCTTCCAGTCATGAGATGGGTGTGTTATTTACTATATCAAGCTGAAGCTGTAAGGATTTAATGTTTCCTTTTCCTTCTCTCTTTGTCGCCGTCTCTCCCCCTCGTAGGTGTTGGTGGAATGAGCGTTGCGTGTGTTTTGAAGAGAAAAGCAGTACTCTGGCAGGACTCGTTCAGCCCCCACCTGAAGCAGCACGCTCAAGATACAGCTAATCCCACCATGCCTGTTGTATTGACATCTGGAACAGGGTCCCAGGCTCAGCCACAGCCAGCTGCAAACCAGGCACTTGCAGCAGGGACACACTCCAGTCCTGTTCCTGGATCCATAGGAGTTGCAGGCCGCTCCCAGGACGACGCTATGGTGGATTACTTCTTCCAGAGGCAGCATGGTGAGCAGCTTGGGGGAGGAGGAAGTGGTGGAGGCGGCTATAATAACAGCAAACATCGCTGGCCTACTGGGGATAACATTCATGCAGAACATCAGGTAAAAAAAAAAAGTTCCATGTTTCCAAACTCAACACGTGAACACCTCGGGCTTCTGATAGATGCTTTCAATGATGCTTTTTAAGGCTTAAACTGGTTATTATTGTGCCGTTGGAATGGCAACAGTTGTGCTTTTTGTTTTCTCTTTCCAGGATTGCGAGGCCTCGGTAGTTATAACCTGAAACATTCTGCTCTTGAGGGTGTTGAAATCCCAGTCCACTCTCTGTGACAGTCAATGTGTGTTTGCAAAATCCATCATTCCCTTTATTGATTTTGTTTTTATTTTTTTTTTTTTTTTTTTTTTGTTGGATATGTGAACCAGTGTAGCAGTGACTGCTTCTGCTTTTCAGATCTGTTGCTGTAGTTAAATAATTCTTATGTAATGGTATTACAAAACTGCCAATGCATGTAGGTTGGGGCTTTTACCATTCCCAATATCGAAATACACAGTTCTGGAAGTTGCTGGTAATGTGTTTTCCTGGTTTTCTTTGCTTATTTGTCTTGGGTTTGGGGTGTTTATTTTTTTTTTTTTGATAGAATTGGGAAAGGAAGGTGCTGTTAATGTGCTTAGCTGAACTGAGGAGAGAACAGCCTTAAGGATGTAATGAAACAGTGCTTTTAGTAACACAGCAAACTTCTTACAGTGACTTAAGGTTTTAAAAGGGTAGTGGGCAAGATCATGTCTCAGTAGTAGTGTTTACTAGAAGTCTGTTGAGTACTTGTATTGTCGGGTGTGCTACGAGTTAAATGAGTATACGACTCACTCCAGCTTTCTGCCCCTGACCTGTAACTCGCTCCTCAAAGAAGAGATACACTTCCTCTGCTGAGGAAGCAGAACTGAAGTGTAAGCACATCTTAAAAACAAATGCTTCCCACAAATATTGTCACAGCAGCAGACACAAAAGCTTTTAGCAGCCTTTATGAATGTCTTCTGCCTCTAGTTTTTCAAATAAAACTGAGCAAGCCCTTGTTCCTCTGCTGTGCCTCCCGGGGGATATGTTGCCATCCAGACCATTTAAAAGCAAACATTGCAGTAGATTTTGCAACCTCACTGAAGTCAGTGTGTACATCAACAAAGAGGTAAACACAAGTGCCCTGTTAACTTCTGGAAGAAAAAAATCACATAAAATACTGTTATGTGTCCAAACCAGCCAGAAGAATATTGTTATTTCCTTATCTGGAAACACACTATTTAGTTATCACTTTAAAGAAAGTAGCTTAATTGAAATGAGATGTAGTTTTCCTATTAACTGCCCAAGTTTTCAAGCACTAAATGTAAAACTTGTTTCAAGAGACATTGATGGAAGAGATCTTAATGGTCTTTGAGTTGTGTAAGAAATAGAAAGTAAAATTTTCTTACTGAAAGGCTTTTCAAATAAAAGCTATCATGTGGTCTGGTATTGGAGATGTTTGGGCAGGGACTGCTTTTGTTTGGACATATTGTGGAAAGATGACTTCGTGAATTAAAATGAACATCATAAAGTTCTTAATCCATTTCTCCTCCAACTCATCACTTTCTTCTTTCTTTCTCTGAAAACCCCTGAAAGCAAAGACAACCAAACTCACTGCAGACTGAGGAGACAAGGGACTGGACATCCAAACCCTGCAGTCATTGAAAATTGTACTGCTATTTGAACTATTTTTTTACTCCATTCTTGAATAACCAGAACACTTAAACTTTTACTCAAAAGAATCCTGCCTGTTACAGAGCCTTGCCCTTATTTCAGAAGATGTGTTGCTCTTCCTCAGCTTTATTTTCTTCAGTAGCTTATGGAGTGAAATGATACTAATAAATTTATCACTTAATGAAATAAAAACTCATTAGCTTGCACTAGTTTAAATGAACTTTAAAAACAGCAACACCTGTATTCTTTGGAGGCAGAGCACTGCTGAGAGTGAACAGATACTATATACCCACAGGATTGAGCTCACAAGGTTGTGTGTGATGCTTTCTTTATTTTCCCCCCTTGTCTTTTGTGATCTGAAGCTCAAGAAATACTCACTATAATGTAATTAACGTTGTACCTTATCTGTTCTACTTCCTGGTGGCTGTTAAATCAGCTGTAGTGCATTTCTCAAACCGCCTGGTGTTTTGCATTCAGTGTGTATCTTTAAATCAATCTTTGTATTTTATTTCTTCAAAGTCAACTCTGAGATGGGAAGTAGCCCTTTTTCTTGTGTGTTTTAATTCCATACTATGTACTCCAGTGATTGCTGGGCAGTGTTCTTGTGTTTATTTGCTTTAGCCTTTCTTGAGTGCCTCTTTTTCCATGGTTCTCTGTTTGCCTCAGGCTTTTACTCATGGGAAGCAGAATGCAGGATATATGTAATCCTAATACTGCCATCCCTTTTGACTTTTTGGCCACTTCTGTATCTATTTCTTAAATTATAAAGTCCTTGAAGCACGAACTACTCTTAAGCATGCACAATGATTTAATTCAGCTTGGATTTAGCCTGGATAGAATTGAATTTGTCCTGCAGGAACAGAAGTGGGAGGAACTGCTGGGACATGCAGAGAGGTGGGGAATTATTATGGGTGTTTGCTAAATCTTAATTCCTTATATATACACTTGTATTGCTGTACTTTTGATTTTAGATTGTCAAAGAGAATGCAGTGAGGCCCCTTGCTTTGTTGCATTGAAGATTAGGAAATGGGAAGTTGGAAAAAATAATTATAGGGTAATATAGGTTAATGTCTGCTTAGAGCTTGGGAGGTCATAATTAAAGGTAGAGGGATTTTTTAAAATTCGTGAATCCCAGGTTCTTCTTTGTTAGGTATGTAAGCAGGCATCTGTCTCTGGTGATAATATTCCAGTGATTTTAACCAAATGATAGCATTTCATTATGTGTGATTTAATACCTATGAGTGTTGTGAGTCAGAACTTATTTACGGGATCCTTGCTTTTTATTTTTTATAGTACTGACTGTTCCTGCTTGCCATTTGTTCGTCATTCCACTGTTAGCTCTGAGAACTGGGCTGTGGATGGCTTTAGTAGGGATGACTTAAGACAAAGTTGCTATGCTCCCAAGGAAATAGATAACCTCCTCTTGTTGTGTATGGGAAGAAAATGCCAGTCCTTTTCATGTATTACCTAGGCATTTTCTCTTCCCTTTGCTTTTTCCCTTTCTTCCTCCATAAAGTAGAAGGGGGGAAGTTTTTTTTTATATATAAAACTAAGTAATTAAAGATGCTACTGTCATTTTGCACATTTAGCTATCAAAGATAAACCAGCCACACAAATAGCATACATTATAAATTCCTCTTTGTTCTTGCAGACACTGATGTAATGGTGAAATCAAACTTTTTTCTAGGTTGGAAGCTCTGAACTCCTAAGCAAACTTCCAGCTGTCTGCAGCTACAAATACTTAATCACCAAACTTCCTACTACATGGAAGACACTTCCATCAGCCAGGTCTTGGCTGCAAAATGAAGTATTCTCTTTTTATCCATGAAAGAAAGGAAGAGGAGGTTAAGTGTCAATGTCTGCCTGCAATTCTAAGGTTAAAACTGAAGAGGTTTAGGCTGTTGTTCATTTCTGATACCTGATGGCTCTACAGGCTGTTTGGTCAATTACACCAGCTGCACTGAAGTGACTTTTTGTTGTTTATTCTGGAATAAAAAAGTAATAAATGGGTAGAGATCAGAATCTTACTTCAAGTAGGTGAGTGAAGATGTAGGAGATGACTCCTGATGAATGATGGCCTAGGTTGTATATGTCTTGGTTGTGAGAGGTTGTCTATCTTATTAAAACCCCAACACCCATCTACTACTCCTGAGGGGAGTGAAAAGACAGTTGAGATACTCAGCTGGGAGAAGTTATCAACACTGAGCAGGCTTTCAGGAAAATTGGCTGGGTTTTCTTGGCTGGGGGTCTCTTGTGACTTGTGCATGCATGTATGTTCTTGAACTGGAGTCAAGAGAGTTTCTCTGGTGGTGGTCCCTCCTGAATTACAGTCAATGGATATACTTAGACTGCCTAAATTGCAGTTAGGGTAACAAGGGAGTTACTTAGTAGAAGCAAATGATTTTAGGCGTTTACTTTCTTTGAGAGCGTGTTTAATTAATAATTGGAGACAATAGAACTCTGCAGGGATCAGCTTGTTGAATGTGGGGAATTTTTCACATATAGTTGGTGAAGAATAGTGAGAGCAACAGGGCTGGGTTTTGTGCTTTTGGCAATGTCGCTGTGCAGCTTCTTAACTGGGAACTTGAATTCAAGTGGAGACAGAAGGTGATTCTCCTGGCAGCTGCCTTTGTGGAGCACTTCTTCTCAAACTGTGCTGCTTGATGCTCTGAAAGTGTCTGAATTTGACCATGTTTGACATGTTTTATGCCTGTTGTCAGGCACCCTGACCAGGCTTTACCTTGAAGCTGTGTTAGGGTCCTCTGAAAGATCCCAGAAGCAGAGGAAACAGAAGACAAGATGTTCAGTCTTTTCAAGTAAATCGCAGTTAAGTGACTGGTTAACTCTTTAGGACAGATCAGCCTATGCAAAGCACCTGGTGTACAAGGGCAACCGTGGTCCAAATAATCTGGCTTGTTGTCTGGGCTAGAGTTGAAGGCATGGAGGAGTCCTTGATCACATACACCACTTGATAGAACACATGGCTCTGTTCCTGAAGAGTGTTTTCTGATGTTTCATTAAACCTGTTGAATTTTCATGGGTACTTCCTTGTGTTACAGTGAGCTGGTTAGGGCTTATCTTAAATTGACACTGAAATGCCTGTGCCAACTTGATGCCCACATAATTTAGAACATATTATGTAGCTGAAATGAAATATCTAGTTGAGCTGATTTGTTGTGCAGAGATTTCTCTATAATAAAGGGAGTGTCTTGTGCAAGGGGAATTGCAACGTTTAATTTAGTTTTTCTGCTTTATGTTGCCCCTTCTAAATGCCTCCTGAGATAGAAGCAGCATGAGTAGATTGGCTTACTTGGGTATTTAAGATTGAGTATTGGAAATTCCTTCTCTTATACAAGGGAGAAAAGCCACCCTGAAG